CAAAACAATCGAATAAGTATATAAATTAAAGTAATAAATATTATCATTAGAGTTAGGATTAGGTTGAGAATATGGCGAGTATATACCAAAATTTAGCAAGGAATTTTTTTTGTTAGTACGCAGAAGGCGGTTTAATAAGTGAAATTTCGAGTTATTAACAATTTCTCAAAGAAAACATAAAAGAACGTAATTTTTACGTTACACCTGATCTTGTTATCTAATTGGCTAGATTCCGAAATATCACGTGACAGTAACGTTTTTTTCGCCATGGCTAGGGTACTAATCTACACTGCAATTTTTAATAAACCAGACCAGGAACAAGAATAAAATCACATAATTTTGTGATATCACAAGATTCATGTAATTCCACCACAAAATCTCAAAACTGATCTATCTAAAAAATTTCGCTGTTAGATTAGGGTTAGGTTCTGCTAATAAGCTAGGTTATAAAGAGCTTTAATGGTGCCAAAATTTCGCAAGGAAAACTTTTTGTTAGTGCGCAGGAGATGGTTTCATAGATAAAATGTTGAGTTATGAGCAATTTTTTGTTTGGCTGCGTCACACCTGATCATGAAACCTGATTGGCCAGTGAAATTTTTTAGGTTGGTAACGCTAGGACAGTCTACAACATTTCACCGCATAATTTCACAAATTTTATTTTATGTGCACAATATAAAACAAAAAGAAAAAAATGATACCGGGAATTACAAGCATGTCACTGGAGAATCTCTTATGTCACCTAAATATATCATTGTCCCTTGACCAGATTGAATTTCAACAATCCTTAATCATTATTGCATGAGTCAAACTTTGGCTTAACGTTAATTTTTGGAGCTGAGTCAGACTTTAACAATCCTATCGCTATCTAATTGATCTACATAGCGTCGTTTAGGTTACATACCGATACTGGTAAATGCACTGCACTAAAATTAGTATCGGTATTGTTCTAATTCGCATGTATCGACAAAAAAAATTCATATAGTTGTTAAATCGTGTAAATCGTGTAATAAAAAAACAAAAAAATCATTTAAGTCATAGTATTAGAATTAGAACTATTCTAAAGTGATTTTCTTTCTACTTGCGAAATTAGCAAACGCGATTAAATTCGTGATTAAATTCGTGGTACATCCATTTTCCTATTATGGACTGTTTCTCACGAACTTTTTAATCAGTATTTTGCCATCAAGTGTTTTTTCTTGTTCGTTATACTTCCATCATGAGATTCATATGGTCGAAAATAAATTTAGATAGAGCTTTGGTTCTCCTGTGTTTGTTGTTACTCGTACAAATCTCATGCTTTTTTCTATTTACAGATCAACCTTTTCCACAAATAAATTTTTCAACCTCAATGCAGCATACCAAATCATTTATAAAAGTTGATGGCACCAGATTTATTCTAGACAATAAACCGCATTATGTGGTTGGGGCGAACTATTGGCAAGCTATGAACCTTGGAATGGAAAGTGGGAATAGATCAAGAGTATTAAAGGATCTAGAAACTTTAAAAGAGAACGGGATTAATAGTTTGAGAATTATGGCTGCAAGTGAAGGTCCTCCAGGTGAACCTTATAGAATGTATCCAGCTTTGATGAATGCACCGGGAGAATATGATGAAAGTGTTTTTCAAGGTATTCTTTGCGCTCGTTTTTTTTTTATACAAGTTTTAACATTTAATTAATCTTTTTAAACGTCATTTTGTGACAGGACTTGATTGGTTTCTGGACCAATTGAAAAACTATGACATGACTGCGATTATGGTTAGTTAGCATTCTCTAAACCAATCATCTATAAAAACATTTTTGGCTAAATTACTTTCCAAAGTTTGAAATATTTCGCCAAGAAGAAATAACGATTTAATCCTGTAATTTTACTCTTATTAAATGAAATTATTTCTTCAGAATGAACCATTTTCATTCGGCAAAATATTTCGGATTCGTCCAAAACATTAATATTTTACGCATATTAATATTTACACATATTAAGTATCTCATTTAATTCACCTTCAAATAGACCCTATCAAACTTTTGGCATTGGTCTGGTGGATTCGCACAATATGTTAATTGGGTTGACAATTCAGGGAAAATACCATATCCTGAAGTAGGTGGATTCTCTTTTGATTCTTACTCCGCCAGATTTTATACGGATTCGGAGATTAAAGATACGTGTCAAAAGTATTATCGGGATCACATAAAAACTGTTATAAATCGGAAAAATACTGTTAATGGCATGGTATATAAAGATGATCCTACAATATTTGCCTGGGAATTGGCAAATGAGCCACAAGCTGTTTACTCTTCGAATGCGCATGACGTAGTTTTTCAATGGTTCGATAAAACTTCAAAGTTCATTAAATCATTGGACAAAAATCATTTAGTGACTACAGGAACCGAAGGAAAACATGGAAAAGATTGGTTTATTACTATGCATAAGAGTGATAGTATTGGTGAATTATTATTATTATTTTTTTTTTACAATGTGAATTTTTTCATGAAACATATTTAATTCTTAAAAAAAAAAAAAAACATTATAATTTAATTTTAAAAGATTTTACTAGCGTACATGTATGGGTTGAAAACTGGGGACACTATAGTTCAGGTGATCCGAGCCCGGAAAATTATCAAAGAGCTGTAAATTTTATGCGTAATTTTCTGCAAGAGACTAGTGATTGGTCAACTAAAATCTTAAAGAAACCTGTTTTACTAGGGGAATATGGTCTGTTTTAAAATCATTACTGGTTTTCTTTTCTTTCACACTTTCTAATATCTTTCTTTAATAAAGGAATGGCGCGTGATGGTTGGACCGATATCTCAAAGTATGATCCAAAAGCACCTGTAACTAACAGAGATAAATATTTCACTGAAGTAGCAAAGAAAATATTTGAATTGGAAAAACAACATGCACAAACGGGGCTTATGTTTTGGGCATACTCTGGAATTGGGCGTCCTAGTGATTCAAAACCTACGTGGGTCGGTGATCCACCTCATGAGGGTAAGTTTATAGCATGGTTTAAAATAATTTTGCAATAATAGGAATCCAGGAATTAGATGCATAATGTGATTTAAATTTCAATTTTTTTTTTTCGCCTTTCATCAATATAAGTGCCGGGATGGTACTCTGTATACGATTCGGATAAAGAAACACTGCGTGTGTTCTTGGATCATGCAAAGCAAATTAAGAATGAAATAAATTAACAGTTCTTTAGACGATGTTAACATAATGAGAACTGTTAGAGAAGTGTATCTATCTGATGGATAAAATTTTTTTCCGTATTTCTAATACAAAAATATAAATTTTGATATATACTATACGATAGAACACTCGTAAAACAAATGTGTGTACGTAGTGTTGCTATCGCCATTGCAATAAACTAAAATTCATAAATATTCTTAAAAAAATATTATCGTCATATAATGAAAATTCAATTTGTGTTAATTATAGTAATAAATTCAGTCGACAACAAATACAGAGAGACCTCCCTTAATGCACCCTCCTCGGGACATAGTAAAAATTTCAAAAATGTGCATTTAAAGGGGTGGGCATTTATACGTAGAAAGCAAATACTACGTAGAAAGCAAATACATAGTATTATTACAAGTTGAGATCAGACTACACCATGAACTTAAGAGATTTTATTAAGAAAGTGCATTTATGAAGGATGCACTTAGAGAGGTCTCTCTGTAATATGTTGGATCTATTAGAAAACAAAAAAAAAAACAAAAAAAAAACAGGAGACCAGCAATCATGGGCGAACTCCGCAAAGTAGGCGGAAAACACCCAAGGCCGTTCTATATCCTGCCAAATATTGGTGAACCTCATATACCGTAGTATATGGTGGATTAGGTGTCACCCAAATCCTATATTATCCTTACTCATTAATTTGAGGCACTAGTATTATCAGTGTTAAGCTTATATATTAGCTCAAATTCAATTTGTAAAAAATTATGGGATTTAAAAAAATTGTCGTACGAGTTTTTATACGTCTGCATCTTATGTAGATCACGGGATAATTTTTTTTTATATCGTAGAATGATATGCGCATTATGCCATTATGCATTGCACAAATTGCATATTTTGAGCCATAATAACTGCATAATTTATAATTAAACAAATCACGTACTGTACGTTGGGGTGTCCAGTGTACTATGTAGATCAAATTTATGTATAGTCCTATATGAATATCTGAATAGACAATTTTTTGTG